ATTAATGTTAATGTGTCCAGCAGAACTGTCAAATGCAGCTTAAAAAACTCAGTTTGAACTTAGACTATCGCATTTTTTCACACCTGTTTTATTTATTTTTCATTGACTGAATAATTACCTTTTTCTCTTCTGACGGGTGTACTATGAAGCTAAGTTTATGGCTTCGCAAACTGAGTTGAGCTTAAAGAGTTTTCTGTGTCCCAAAAGTGGCTCTCTTGTTATCTGGATAATTCGCCGTAGTAACTCATGCCAAACACATAACCTGGCCCATGGTGCATTTTATTGCCACAGGAATGTAAATATATTACTGTGATGCAGAAAAATATATCAATGTTTTTATATGTGACTCTAATCTGCTGCTAAGAACACACACCAAGAATACTGGTTTAGTTAGAAAAAATAATTTCACTTTGATGTACTGACATAATAAAGCTAAAAAAGATAACTCTTTAGGTCACTATCCAATAGGCTAATTAAACTGGATACATTTAAACATTTTTAAGTTGCAGCGCTCTAATGGGCAGCTGGCACTGCAGGCCTTAAAGCTGAAGGCTCTCCCTCCCATTTTACTTTTAAACTCTAGGAACCACAAGTAGTCTGAGAGTGAAGTGCTCTGTTGGGACAGTATGGTACTACAACCTCTTTAAGATATGATGGGGCGAGATTATCCAAGACTTTGTATTTGAGGAGACGGCTTTAAATTTAATTAAATTCAATCCCCAGCTGGAGTTTTAGGTTTTGTTGGGCCAGCTAAGGCAAAAAAAAAAAAAAAAAAGCCTGACTGTGTTCACAATAAACCCGTCTGTCATTGTGGAGGAGCTGCTTGAGCTCCACAATACCTGTTAACTGTTAAACAGTCGTGGGTTGTTTCATCTGTTATACTGTTGCTGAATGTAGCCCCCGAGCCCTTCCCAGTGGTTAAAAGAGTATGCCATGTTATGCTTCTTTTGAAAAACTCATCTCATTAAAATAAATAAAATCAAACCTATACATCAGGTGCATGGCCCAGCAGTAATATGGATGTTGTTTTGATCATTTAGCTAAACCATACAGCTGTGTCTCTGCAGGTTTCTTCATGTTTTTTAATGATATTCCATATTTGTCATGTAGGATATGGAAGTGAGCCCAAACGAGCTGATGAACATCCTGAACAGAATCATTGCAAAGCGTAAGATGTGTCTGCATTTGTCATACTTATTTTCATTATGTTTATGATTCAATTCTTCAGAATACATATACGTTTTAGGGTCTCTTTTCTTTCTTTCTCTTTTTTACTAATATATTTTTTTTGTTATGTTTTAGATCAGGATCTGAAGACAGATGGTTTCAGCATTGAGTCTTGCAGGAGCATGGTGGCAGTCATGGATGTATCTTTTCCTTCATTAGTACTCTGTGTGTTTTATATAATCTGGGTGACAGTATTGAACTGTCACTGACAGCAAAAGTTTAAAAAATGATGCAGAACAAATAGAAACAGACAACTAAAGTGGGGATATGTTGGCTCAACAGGTCCATTCATACCTGTGGCTTACTAACACTATGGACCGAATAAAACCTTAACGCTGCAGCGGACTGAAATCCAGAGAAAACCAAAAGAAACTGAAGCCTTCATACACATTTTCTTTTACCCTCTCTGTTCTAGGCCCCTGCCATCACACAGTTCATATCTGGGTAAAAGTAAAAAAAAATGACACTAAGCCATTATACAATTTAGAACGGCAACTTTACAAAATGCAGAAATGGATGTTGCTTTGAACATGTCTAAATATGTCTTTTGAAAATGACTTGAGCACTGTTATATATAAGGAAGTGTGTTAGTTA